CTTACTCAGTGCCAGCCACTTCTTCCCTCACCATACCCCAAACCTCTTCACCCCTCCAACTATTAGCTGCCAGTCTTCCCTCACTGCTACCCCTTCCTGACTGGCAGAGAAACTCTAAGCTGTAGCCCCTTCTCTTTAACTCTTTAAATTTGCCTTGCCCAGGGCTTTGCTCCCTGTGTGAATGACAGGTAGGGATGGGGAGCCATCACTTTCTGCATATTTACTGAACATTCATCTAGTCACTGACACCTTCATTAATCCTATGGAGACTGCCCAGCCCCAGGTTATCCAGTCCCAACTGCTTCTGCCCCCCACAATAGCCCAAACCTCTTCACCCCATCTTCCCTTGCTGCTACCCCTTCCTGACTGGCAGAGACCCTCTAAGCCAGGGGTGGGTGAGGGCTCCACCCTCTGGCTGAGGCCTTGGGGCACTTTCTTCCTCTCTCGGGGTACCACGTGACACAGCAAAAAAGCCAACTGTCGGCAAATAAGGGTAAATAAAGGAATGAAAGAACAGAAACGGGTGGGAGAAAAAAATGTGGACAGAGCCCATCAGGATATGGGCCCTTCTTATTTCTGGGAGCCGTGGGGGCTTCTCAGTCCTCTTCAGAGTTGACTGGGTCTCCTGGGCAAGTTTCAGCCTGCTCCCTCTTTGAGCTCCAGGGATTCCCCACCCTCCCTCAGTGAACCCCAGAGCCCGGAATGCTGCCAGCCCGCTCTTTGGGGCTGGAGATGCTCGACAGACAGTTCCTTTCCCAGGGTGGCCCCCCTCTGAGTAGAGCAGGTCTCTCCTATTAACTCCTGCTCCAGTCCTGGCATGGTTTGCAGGTGTGGAGGGACTGGGCCAGTCCACACTAAAGCAGGAGTTTAACCCCTTCTGTGCCAGCATGGTGTTTATATAGCCCTTCACAGGCACCCAGGCCCAGGGAATGGCCCCCTATCAGCCCCATGCCTGATGTGGTAGGGCGACCCACTGGCAGCATTGTCTTTGAGGGTGCTGCTCCCACTCCCTCCCCTCCCCCTTTACTGCCACCACAATCCCTGTCACCTTCACTTCCTGAGGGGTGACCCCCAGAAGGTGTGTTTTGTTATCCCTTTCACTACCCCCCCCCCCAGGATCTGTTATACACCATCTGTCACTCACCTTTGTCTCAGGAGACAAGACGGGTCATGGGGCGTGGGTGATGCTATGCTGCAGATCCATCATCACTGAAGGAGTGGCAGCCTTGACCCTTCTTGAAGGTTGCCAGGATGCTGATGTGCACTGGAGGAGAACTGGGGCTTGACTGAGTCCATAGACCATTTGGCCCACGCTGTGTCACTGTAAAGCCTGCTCTGCATTGCTGCCAATTGCTGCTGGTGGTGTTGCGCCCGTAAGTCTCTGTAATGCTGTCTTCAGTGACTCGAGAGCATGAGCACCATTCTCAGGCAGACTGGTAAGAAGCAGGGAAGAAAACCCAAATTGGTTGCGAGGCCTATATGTAGATTTCACCAACCAAGTATCCAGTGTAGACGCTGCAGGCACTGTAACGGGATTAACATGGAATCACAGACAGTCCCTTTGGGTCATCCCATATATCTCACCACGCAGGTGAGCTCACCTTTGTGACAGATGGTCCCTTACACCAGGGGTTTTCAACCTTCTTATTTTTGAGCCCCCCTCCCCCCCCAACATGCTATAAAAACTCCACGGCCCACGTGGGCCACAATAACTGATTTTCTGCATAGAAAAGCCAGGGCTGGCATTAGGGGGTAGCAAACAGGGCAACTGCCTGGGGCCCCATGCCACAGGGGCCCCCACAAAGCTACATTCCTTAGTCTTTGTCTTTAGCTCCAGGTGGTGGAGCTCAGGGCCATGGACTTCAGCCCCATGTGCTGGGACTTCAGCTTTCTGCCCTGGGCCTCGGCGCGTCTAATGCTGGCCTTGCTTGGCAGCCCATCTGGTAACTGCTCATGGCCCCCTAGGGGGCTCCAGATCCCTGGTTGAGAACCACTGCCTTACACCATGAATCACAGCAATATTCAGGTTACTGCCAATCCCAAAGGACCAGTCATTTCGTTAGGTGAATTGAATCTTAGATCTCCCAACAAAAACAACACTTGTAGCCAGTCCTGTCATAACCTGCATTAAGATTTATTTAAGAGGAAACGAGAGTTGTTTACAAAGTTAAAAGCAGGTAATCATATAGATGCAGACGAGTTAGTCTTAAATTTCAAAAGGTAATAGAAGCTTCTATAATAAGCAAGCCCTACATATTCTTTAGGATTAACCCTGGCTAAGCAACTGGGGATCCCTTGCTTATGCTTAGAAACTTTGCCCCCCAGAGTCCAAGCAGCATACAGATAATCAGTTTGTTCTGTATGGGGTTTTTATGCCCTTCTTGCCATGTGCTCTGAGCTGCAAACTCAGCTAATGGGAAGTCAAGAGCACAACAACAGTCTTTTGTCTTCTTTAACATCCCATAATAGTCTATCTGGTGTTGATGGACCTTTCCTGCCAGGCAGGATGTAATGCATTCTGTTGCCAATCAGCACTTCACCTCAGTAAAGTCTCTCCCCTGTCTGCTGATTTACATCGCCAGAGAGGCTCACACTGCAACTAGTCAGATATTAACCAGTGGTGAGCTGGAGCCGGTTCCCACCGGTTCGCAGGAACCGGTTGTTAAATTTAGAAGCCCTTTTAGAACCGGTTGTCTCTCTGAAGCACCTGGCATTGGCCAGTGAGCTAGATGGACCATTGGTCTGACACAGTGGGCCGTTCTTATGTTCACAGTCTGTATCAGGAGTATCTACTCATTTGGACTCACTGGGGAGCCACAGAAAGAAACAAGGTGTCCTGAGCCAAGAAGGCCCAGTCTCAGAGCCCTCAGGATCACGCTTGCCAAAAGCTAAAACTAGGCCCAGCCCATGAAAGGGGGTACTCCCAGGAGAGACTGTGTAAAGGCTGGAGCATCAAAGAACTTAGTAAACCTGAGAAAGCTGCCTTGGGGACAATGAGAGGGAGAATCCCCCAAAGTGACTCCTTTGATTCTGCTCTTCTGTGGCCTTTGGTTTATAGAATCATAGAACTGGAAGGGACCTCGAGAGGTCATCTAGTCCAGTCCCCTGCACTCAAGGTAGGACTAAGTATCATCTAGATCAGGGGTCTCCAAACTACGGCCCATGGGTTCCATTTGTCTGGCCCTCCAACCAACAGGGGAGAAGCGAACAGCTGAGTAGGCATGCCGAGCAGGCAGGGGGAGGGGCCGCTGGCAGCAGCTCACATGGGGCAGCAGCACAGCTGAGCTGTGCAAAGGGGTGAGTGCCTCTAGGAGCCAGTGTCCCCCCAAAAGGGGAGTCAACTTAGGGGAGAGTCATTGCTTCAGCAAAGTAGGTACAGGGAGAAGCAAATAGGCAGGCTGCAGGCAGGGGGAGGGCCTGTCGGCAGCAGCTCGGGTTGGGGGGATAGCTCAGCTGTGCTGTACAGAGGGGTGAGTGCCTCTGGGAGCCAGTGTCCCCCCAAAAAGGGGAGCCAACTTAGGGGAGAGTCATTGCTGCAGCCAAGCAGGCACGGCCTCCTCCCTTAGGAGTAAAAATACAAGCCAGGTGCTTAATTACATCTCCAATAAATGGAATAAAGAAGATGGAAATTAACAATTTCATAATGGTTACATTTTAACTACATCACTAATAGAACCAAACAGTATTTGTATGATACAAATGTGTGAGTTTTTAGAAATAAAATTTTAAAAAGTTAAATGATTTTTAATGTATTGACAAATATTTTGTGTGATTTCACAGTACCTGCATCGATTAACTTTTATACCTGATTTAGAATTTAATGCAACACTGATACAGTAGAATAGTGTTGTTTTTGAATGATTTTGCATATATTTGCATATGTTTAATTTCTTTCAAAGTTGCTTCGGCCCGCGAAGCCCTTTCAAAAATCTAATATGGCCCTCATCTTATGAAGTTTGGAGACCCCTGATCTAGACCATCCCTTGAGAGGTGTTTGTCCAGCCTGCTCTTAAAAATTCCCAATGATGGAGGTTCCACAACCTCCCGAGGCAATTTATTCCAGTGCTTAACCACTCTGACAATTAGGAAGTTTTTCCTAATGTCCAATCTAAACCGCCCTTGCTGCAATGTAAACCCATTACTTCTTATCCTATCCTCAGAGGTTAAAAAGAAAAAATTTTCTCCCTCATTCTTCTAACAACCTTTTATGTACTTGAAAACTGTGATCATGTCCCCTCTCAGTCTTCTCTTCTCCAGACTAAACAAACACAGTGTTTTCAATCTTCCCTCATAGGTTATGTTTTCTAGACCTTTAATCATTTTTGTTGCTCTTCTCTGGACTTCCTCTAATTTGTCCACATCTTTCCTGAAATGTGGCACCCAGAACTGAAAACACTATTCCAGGTGAGGCCTCATCAGCGCGGAGTAGAGCGTTAGAATTACTTCTCGTGTCTTGCTCACAATACTCCTGCTAATACATCCCAGAATGATACTTGCTTTTTTTGCAACAGTTTAACTCTGTTGACTCATATTTAGCTTGTGATCCACTATGACCCCCAGATACCTTTCCGCAGTACTCCTTCCTTGGCAGTCATTTCCCGTTTTGTATGTGTGCAACTGATTGTTCCTTCCTAAGTGGAGTACTTTGGATTCATCCTTACTGAATTTCATCCTATATACTTCAGACCATTTCTCCACTTTGTCCAGATAATTTTGAATTTTAATTCTATACTTCAAAGCACTTGCAACCCCTCCCAGCTTGGTGTTGCCTGCAAACTTTATAACAGAGACTCTGCTACTGGGAGGGTTTCACCATATCTCAGAGGGTTACACCGTGGTGGGAGGGGGCTAGGCCTGTACTGGAATAAGGTCACTCTGTGCTTCACAGTGTGGCAGAACCTAGAATGTCCATTAGCAGGGAAAATCCTGGGAGAATTGGCATGTGGAATGGACAAAAACCCTGTCTGAAGTCTCTCACATTGCCCTTCTCGCCCTTGCAGGCTACAGAATAACGTCCACATTTTGCTTCAGATCATCCCATCCTCCCAGGGGGAAGGAAATGGCTTCAATGGAGCTGGCTCAGGTAATGGATTATCAGGGAGCTGGTGATGGGTTAGCCTGGAAGGAGAGGAGCAGTAAATGCATAGGAGGGTGGGAGCTGCTCGAAGTGGTGGGAGGCAGGAACTATCTAGGGTGGAGAAAGGGAGGGGACAGGATCTAACAAACCTGCTGAGACTTGTTTAATCTAGGGTGTGATGGGTTGTCACCCCAGGGTGCAGTCTGGGGGGCTTCTGGGAACCGCTGTGCCTTCTAACTCTGAAGCTGGGCTGGCCCTTCTCACAATGCTTTGCTGAAGATTCAGCCAGCCTCTCGAGCCCCTGTTATCACTCAACACTACAGCAGGTGATGCCATGAATCCAACTAAGCTACCTGAGTGCTTTACCTAAGCCACTCAAGACAGATAGAAGACAACAGCCAATTTCCCAGCGATAAGTGATAGCAAAGAGATCAAGGCAGATTACTTAGGCTTAGTTTGAATTTTTGGTTATTTGCTAAGATACTAGATGGGTAGAATTTGAATTAGCAATTTCTCACCCTGACTGATGATAGAAGCAGTCCATCAAGTTTCCATACCCAAGCTTGAAATCCCTTTACGCTGTAACCAACACTTCCCCCAGTTCAGTCTTTGTTCCTCAGGTGCTTCCTCAGGTGGAGAAAGTGAATAAGGAAAAGTTATTTACTTGTTCCCATAATATAAGAACTAGGGGCCACCGTATGAAATGAATGGGCAGCAGGTTTAAAACAAATAAAAGGAAGTTCTTCTTCATACAGCGCACAGTCAACCTGTGGAACTCGTTGTCTGAGGAGGTTGTGAAGGCTAGGACTATAACAGGGTTTAAACGAGAACTAGATAAATTCATGGAGGTTAAGTCCATTAATGGCTATTAGCCAGGATGGGTAAGGAATGGTATCCCTAGCCTCTGTTTGTCAGAGGGTGGAGATGGAAGGCAGGAGAGAGATCACTTCATCATTACCTCTTAGGTTCACTCCCTCTGGGGCACCTGGCATTGGTCACTGTCGGTAGACAGGATACTGGGTTGGATGGACATTTGGTCTGACCCAGTATGGCCATTCTTATTCATAGATTCTAGGACTGGAAGGGACCTCGAGAGATCATCGACTCCAGTCCCCTGCCCTCATGGCACGACCAAATACTGTCTAAACCATCCCTGATAGACATTTATCTAACCTACTCTTGAATATCTCCAGAGATGGAGATTCCACAACCTCCCTAGGCAATTTGTTTCAGTGTTTAATCACCCTGACAGTTAGGAACTTTTCCCTAATGTCCAACCTAAACCTCCCTTGCTGCAGAAGCCCATTGCTTCTTGTTCTATCCTTAGAGGCTAAGATGAACAAGTTTTCTCCCTCCTCCTTATGACACCCTTTTAGATACCTGAAAACTGCTATTATGTCCCCTCTCAGTCTTCGCTTTTCCAAACTAATCAAACCCAGTTCTTTCAGCCTTCCTTCATAGGTCATGTTCTCAAGACCTTTAATCATTCTTATTGCTCTCCTCTGGACCCTCTCCAATTTCTCCACATCTTTCTAGAAATGCGGTGCCCAGAACTGGACACAATACTCCAGTTGAGGCCTAACCAGCGCAGAGTAGAGAGGAAGAATGACTTCTCGTGTCTTGCTCATAACACACCTGTTAATGCATCCCGGAACCATGTTTGCCTTTTTTGCAACAGCATCACACTGTTGACTCATATTTAGCCTGTGGTCCACTATAACCCCTAGATCCCATTCTGCCGTACTCCTTCCTAGACAGTCTCTTCCCATTCTGTATGTAGGAAGGAACAATCCATTTCATAAGTGGAGCACTTTGCATTTGTCTTTATTAAACTTCATCCTGTTTACCTCAGACCATTTCTCTAATTTGTCCAGATCATTTTGAATTATGACCCTTTCCTCCAAAGCAGTTGCAATCCCTCCCAGTTTGCTATCATCTGCAAACTTGATAAGTATACTTTCTATGCCAATATGTAAGACATTGATGAAGATATTGAACAGAGCTGATCCAAAAACAGACCCCTGCGGAACCCCACTTGTTATACCTTTCAAGCAGGATTGGGAACCATTAATAACTACTCTGAGTACGTTTTTCCAGCCAGTTATGCACCCACCTTATAGTAGCCCCATCTAAGTTGTATTTGCCTAGTTTATTGATCAGAATATCATGCAAGACCGTTTCAAATGCCTTACTGAAGTCTAGGTATACCACCTCCATCGCTTCTCCCTTATCTACAAGACTCGTTTTCCTATCAAAGAAAGCTATCAGATTGGTTTGACATGATTTGTTCTTTACAAATCCATGCTGGCTATTCCTTATCACCTTCCACCTTCCAACTGTTTGCAGATGATTTCCTTAATTACTTGCTCCATTATGTTCTTATATTCCAGGAGTTCTCTTGTGTGGGGAATGAGGCCAAGAGATGATGTCACAACCACCTTATGTAGCTTTTCCATATGGGGGGAACCCTTTGTTCCAAACTCAGTTCCCAGTCCATTTTGGTACCAAAATGGAGTTCAGCATCATGTGGTCTGGTCACATGCCCTACCATGCCCTGCTGAGTCATAGTAGCCATGACTCATAGGCTGGCTGAAACATTCACAGGAAGGCTAAGCTCTTCCACGGTCCATTGTCTTTGTTGATGAGCCGTCAGCGCTGTCTGGCTTCTTCATTGTTGTACCTGAAAGGCTAGTTGTGGATGTTACCCAGAGTAAGCACATTTGAAATACAGATACAGAGTCAATATCCATAACTTCAAATATAAACATGATCCATGCATACAAATAGGATAATCATATTCAGCCAATCATAACTTTTCCAATGACACTGCACATGATGCATCTTGCACAAAATACCTCATAATTATGCCCTAATCAGTTTATACTCATACCACTATGCTGAATGTGGGGTGTAGTGTCAGATAGGGCCTAATTTCAAGGCACAGGAGTTGGGAATGGAACTTCCCCTCTTTGTGGAACAGGAAATAACCCCCCAGCCAGGGCTGGGAAAACTTCCTAGACTCCCAGTGCTGGAGCCAGAATCTACTGACACTTCATTAGTTACCACCACCCCCAATCTTTGTGGCAAATGCAAACTTTATCAGTGATTATTTTATATTCTCTTCCAGGTCATGGATAAGAATCTTAAATAGCACAGAGCCAAGAACCAATCCTTGTGGAAACCCCCTAGAAAGAAATCCACTCGACCATGGTTCCCCATTTACAATCACTGTTTTTAATCTATTTAATATATGCCATATGTATTTTGTATCTTTCTAGTTTTCTAGTCAAAATATTCTGCTGAACCAAGTCATATGCCTTACAGAAGTCTCGGTATATTTAATCAATAATATTAGCTGCAACCAAACTTTTGATCTCATCCAATAAGGATATCCAGTTAGTTGGATAGGATCTATTTTCTCTAAACCTTTGTTCATGGGTACTAATTATATTACCCGCCTTTAATTCTTTATTAATAAATCCAGTATTGGCTGCTCCATTATCTTGTCCAGTATCGATGTCAGACTGACACTCTTGTAATTAGCTGGGTCATCTCTTTTACACTTTTTAAATATTGGCACAGCATTAGCTTTATTCCACTTTTATGTAATTTCCTCAGTGTTCCAGGTCCTAATTGAAATCAACATTAACAGTCCATCACGCTCCTCCACCAGGTCTTTAAAAACTCTTGTTATCTGGATCCGCTGATTTAAACACATCTAACTCTAATACCTGCTGTATAACGTCCTCCTGAGTTACTTTGGAATTCATAGATTCTAGGACTGGAAGGGACCTCGAGAGAATGGAAAGACTGTCGGCATCAACAGCTTATGATATGAGTACATCATCTGTTTTTCCCCAAATCCAGGAGAGAAATATTTATTGAACACTTTTACCTCTTCTGCATTATTTTTGATAATTCTGCCATTTCCATCTAGTAATTTACCACTACCATTGTTAGGATTAATTTTGTACTTAATATACTTTTAAAAACTTCCTTCTTATATTCATTGATTAATAATTGATTTCTGATAGCTTCCCTTACCAATTTTCTACAATTCTGACCTTCTAACTTATATTCTTTACTATTGAATTCCCCTTTCTTCCATATATTTTATTTGGAGAGTGTTGGGATTCCTACCAGGGAGCCACCAGTAGGGTCCAGAGACAGCCCCATCTCCTGTATGAAGCTCTGGCTAGTAGGTATGTGATAAATGTGAAGATGCTGCTTCCGTCTTTCAGCTGGGAAACACAAAGGTTCTCTCTTTCTACCTTCTAATGCCTTCTGGCTTCTCTAAGCAAGGTGGGCTATGTTCTGTTAACATGTGCCTCCCAGAGCATCCATTTACCTGGTGCTGCTGTTCTGTGAATAGTGGGGTTGTGAGTGGGGCAGCAGGTACTGAGTGTTGGACTCTTACTCTTTCAGGGGCCGGTGACCTTTGAGGAGGTGGCTGTGTATTTCACCAGGGAAGAGGGGACTCTGCTGGACCCCACTCAGAGAGCCCTCTACAGGGATGTCATGCAGAAGAACTATGAGACGGTGGTCTTGCTAGGTAAGGAGTCCTGTCCCTTCGATTATTAGAAGCTGTGCGTTTTCTAAAGAACCCGAGTAGTAATAACTTTATACCTTTATTTGTCATACAAGTTTTGACAATTTTCCTTGCCCCACCTTTTTTTTGCCTTATCTCCCACCCACTAGTATAATTTTTGGACATGTGCCTTTTTCGTGCCGTCAGTCATTTTAAAATTGCATTTAATGTATCCTTCTTGGCTACATTAATAACTACATTAGTAACTGTAGCTTTCATGCCTTTTCCTCATTTTAAGAGGAAAATATACTGCCTGTAGAATTCTAAGTTAAGTAAATAGGTGTATGACTCATGCATGGGTTGTGTGACAGTCAGATGAGCTCCTCTTTTGATAGGAGAGCGTATGTTTCCATTCAGGACCCCATGGATGAAGGGAGAACAGAGCCGTGGGAGGGGAAGAGAAGGGGGGAGTAGATAATTCTGGGGTGCCAGGACATGGGGAGGATGTGTGCAAGATTTGAGGTAAGAAGGAGCAGGGAGGGATGAGGTAGTGAGAGACGAGGACGGGAACACAAGAAGCTCCCAAGGTGCCGGGAGGTGGTGATGGCTGAGAGTAATGGGAAGAAGAGGAGGCGAGTGTGGAGGAAGGACACCCAGGAAGTGGGCTGGGTGGGTCAGTGGGAGGGAGGAGAGGTTTGGGGATCTAGAGCTGTTGGGGATCCCAGATCTTTAACCTCGAATCCCTATCCAAGCCTTCTTGCTTTAGAGCCTACACTCCAGTTGTATTTCTGTTCAGTTTCACTTCATTATACATTTTCCCCACAAATATTATTATTTTAACTCTTGACCTCCCTCTCCCACCCATTACCATATAACCTCCCCAGTGATGATGTCACTGGGTGGTAGTGTAGCCTGTACAATTTTTATACCTATAAGATTACATATTGGGGTACAGCTTGTCCTGGTACATGGCTACTCAAAGTTAATGGAGAAGATGGAATTTGGTGAAACACACAGAAACTTGATGTAATGCAGACAGTTATAATTAAAATCATAGACAAAAATCAATACACATAACGATTAGAGTAAGATAAATATATAAAGAAGGTCTTGCACTGTGCATACTTACTGTCAAGGCTGCTTCTCCACTTTGAACTTTAGGGTAGAAATGTGGGGGCCTGCATGAAGACTTCTAAGCTTAACTACCAGCTTAGATCTGATCTGCTGCCACCATTCCCAAATGGATTCCCTTCCCTGAGTAGCCTTGAGAAACTCTTCACCAATTCCCTGGTGAATACAGATCCAAACCCCTTGGATCTTAAAGCAGGGAGAAATGAACCATTCCCCCTCCTTCTTCTCACCAACTCCTGGTGAATACAGTTCCAACCCCCCTAGGATCTTAAAACAAGGAAAAATCAATCCGGTTCTTAAAAAGAAGGCTTTTAATTAAAGAAAAAGGTAAAAATCATCTCTGTAAAATCAGTATGGAAAATAACTTTACAGGGTAATCAAACTTAAAGAGCTCAGAGGACCTCCCTCTAGCCTCAGGTTCAAAGTATAGCAAACAAAGATAAACACTCTAGTAAAAGGTACATTTACAAGTTGAGAAAACAAAGGAAAACTAACACGCCTTGCCTGGCTATTTACTTACAAGTTTGAAATAGGAGAGACTTGTTCAGAAAGATTTGTTGAGCCTGGATTGATGTCTGGTCCCTCTCAGTCCCAAGAGCGAACAACTCCCAAAACAAAGAGCACAAACAAAAGCCTTCCCCCCCCCCCCAAGATTTGAAAGTATCTTGTCCCCTTATTGGTCCTTTGGGTCAGGTGTCAGCCAGGTTACCTGAGCTTCTTAACCCTTTACAGGTAAAAGGATTTTGGAGTCTCTGGCCAGGAGGGATTTTATGGCACTGTACACAGGAGAGCTGTTACCCTTCCCTGTATAGTTATGACACTTACAAATTATGGACACCATTGGAAACAAAGTTTGAGGGGCAAGGGAGACCATCAGAAGGGAGGCCCTGCTTCAGTGTACACTGTCTCAGGGACCCGACAAAATGAAAAAATGGTAACTAGGAGAGGTATTTTCTCCGCTTTCTTATGGTAATAGGAAGGCGATATACCATATCTGCTTCTTTACTCTGATTACAATAATGTCAATAGGTGCCCCAACCCATATTTGGCCTTTGGGAAGTCCATAATTAAGCATCAAGCATTAATACACATGATTTACATCACTTATTTATTAATCATTCCAATATATGAATGTGGTCCAACGGCTGAGATACTTCATAGCAACCTAATTGCTAAAGCCCGCCCCAAACTTCCTTCTTTCAGAATCCTGTGGTGTGTTGCACCTGTTTGTGGTTCCTTGTTAGTCTCTCAAAATGAGGGTGCAAAATATCTGACCTGGGATTCTCTCCTTAGGCCTATTTAGGTAAATCCCAGACTTCAGCATAACTACTCCCACAAAGCCTCAACCTAATATAAGGCCCTAAACTGTAGCAAGCTTATGCTGTGTCTACACTACCGCAGTAAGTCAACCTATGCTATGCAACTCCAGCTATGTGTATAATGTAGCTGGAGTCGATGTACCTTAGGTCGAGTTACCACAGGGTCTACTTACCTTACTCTTCTTATCAGGGGTCGAGTACAGGGGTCGATTGGAGAGCGATCTGTATTCAATTTGGCAGGTATTTACCAGACCCGCTACATCGACCACCGGTGGATTGATCTCAGAGCATCGATCCCAGCTGTAGTGTAGTCCCTGCCCTTAATAACCCATTTATTTATGATCACCTTCTTGCCCCTCCACACGTGTTCCAAGGTAATAAGCAATACTCTGTGTGACAAAGTTCCTCCTCTACCTTGCTGGGTCCTGCGCTTATTGGCGGATTTGCTCGCTTCACAGATTCACCCTGTGGGTCAGGAAAACAGTCCAGAGACCTTCCCCTCTGGTAGAAGCTATAGTCCAGGTCAATTCCTCCTGTGTTTGATCAGGAGTTGGGAGGTATGGGGGGAACCCGGGCCCGCCCTCTACTCCAGGTTCCAGCCCAGGGCCCTGTGGACTGCAGCTATTTAGAGTGCCTCCTGGTACAGTTGCACGACACGAACAACTCCCTGGGCTACTTCCCCATGGCCTTCTCCCAACACCTTCTTTGTCCTCACCACCGGACCTTCCTCCTGATGTCTGATAACACTTGTAGTTCTCAGTCCTCCAGCAGTATGCCTACTCACTCTCAGCTTCTTGCACACCTCTTGCTCCCTGTTCCTCTCACACACTTCCTCTCCTGTGGCTCCCCCTGGCTTGACTGGAGTGAGCCCTTTTACAGCATCAGAGGGGCCTTAATTAGAGTCAGGTGCTTAACTGCCTCACCTGACTCTTAGCAGGTTAATTGGAGTCAGGTGGTCTATTAGCCTGGAGTAGCCCCTGCTCTGGTCACTCAGGGAACAGAAAACTACATATCCAGTGGACAGTATATCTCCCTTCTGCTACTCTGTTGTTCCCAACTGGTCTGGGTCTATCAAATCTGATAATCAGATTTTACCTCTAGCGAGTATAAAATTGCCCACAAGACATGAGAGTAGGTCATAGATCATAAAATCAGGTCGGGGTCAACAGGAGTGAGAGTTTGGAGAGAGTCTTGTCCCCCCTCTCCCCATGTGCAGCAGCCAGAAGCTGTCTTCCCTCCAGGCTCCTTGGATCTTCAAGCCTGTCCCTCCTGAGGTTGCGTGGCCCAGTTCTTGTTTCTTACAGTCTCCTTTTCCGGAATAATTAGAGGCTGTTGCTCTTGAATTTTAGTGTTTAATTCCCCAGCCTTCTCCACACACTGGGGGAGTTTAATTCTCCCTCCCATTACACCTGAGTCACTAGATTTCCTAATTCCCCAGAATGTGCTTTTGTGATGTCACAGTTCTGGGGTAGCTAAGCCTTTGACCTGCTTCCATGGTCTGCTCAAGGAATGGTCTGTCAGGTATCAGGCCTCTAGCCAGTCCCTCTCTATGGGTAGGGACCCACATGCCTCTCCTTTTTGACCAGGGCTTGCAGATTGCAGCTTGTCCTCCACTGTGTTCACTGGACTAATGTCCAGTTCCCATGCTTTGCTTTCTCTCCAAGGGCTGTGAGCACTGTGTGTGTGATAGAGGTGGGGATTTTGGTGATACTTCTATAATGCCAATACACACCTCAGTTTCCCTCTGTGATTGGTATTGCTATGATTATAATGGGCAGGCGACATGAGGTGTTTTGTCATGTGTCTATCATGGGGTGCTGTGAATGGGTTATTAAGGACTGGCTGGTACCAACCTACATCAGTGGAATACCCTACAGAGACAAGGGAATAATTGTCACCTGTCCATGGAAGGATCTCTGTTTGGCTGAGTGAAGTATACATGGACTCGTTATGTTTTTGGGAGCAGGAAGAACTGGGCTCTCAGATGCAGGGAGCTCTACCGGAGCGAAGACAAATGGACAGTCACAGTGAAAGGAAACCTAAGCATTTTCTACAGCAGCAGGGCTCAAGGCCATTGGCCAGTATGGACTATATTGTCTTTGTTGCTTCCCTGTGCTAATCTAAGGACTTTCCAATGATGTGTTTTGGTTGACTAATAAACCCTGCTATGTTTTAAAAGTCTGCCAGTGTCACAGCAAAAACTTGCTCTGTTCATTGAATGTCTCTGAACAGGAGTGTCATTCAGCTGGACCTGCTGGGCAGAGCTCACAGGTTGAAATAGGAGTGTTGAAGCCAGAGGCTCAGGGTATGTCTACACTACGAAATTAGTTCGAATTTATAGAAGCCGGTTTTATAGAAATCGGTTGTATACAGCCGATTGTGTGTGTCCCCACATAAAATGCTCTAAGTGCTCTAGTCGGCGGACCCCGTCCACAGTACGAGGCTAGCATTGACTTCCGGAGCATTGCACTATGGGTAGCTATCCCACAGCTATCCCACAGTTCCCGCAGTCTCCGCCGCCCATTGGAATTCTGGGTTGAGATCCCAATGCCCGGATGATGCAAAACAGTGTCGCGGGAGGTTCTGGGTACATGTCGTCACTCATGCTGCACCGTCGGCTGCCAC